GCGCCAAGCTCCTTGCCCCGAGTTAAGTAGGTACACGTATACAGCCCTAAAATCACATCTGGCCGTTTGAAGGCAACTGCAAGGCTGATGTGGCCCCCGGTGAAAATGAGTTTGACCCCCTGCTCTAGAGGATCTGAGGGGACCTAGGCTGGGGCTCCCTGACCCAGCTGGGTCCCTGCACAGCTCCCTCCACTGTGCAGAAGCCAGCATCTGCCCTGGGAGCCCCGGGACCTGTTTCTGCCCTTGCTTTTTTTTTCCTTTATCCTTTTTTGCTGTTTTGAGTTGGGGGGCCTCCCAAATGGACTTCTGCTCCCCCCATCCTACTGACGCAGTTCTCAAGCTTCCTGCGCTGCCCTGCTCTCGCCCGAGTTCCCCAGGCAGCCTGGCGTGGCTGACCCTCACCACGTCAGGTGCGTGCACTGAATCTGTGCTTCCACCTGCCCATGGTTTCCTCCCTTCGCCAGCAGCTCCTTGTCACTCTTCTGCTGGACCTTCCTCTTCTTCCCAGCCACTGAATTGACGCACCCGAGGGCCACGAACCTTTTCTCTAATCGCCCTCACTGCAGGGGGCCTCATTCTGTCTCTGACTGCCAGATTCGTGGCTCCACCCCTGCCTCCGCCCCCAGCACCGGCCTGGTACAAACATGTCCATGCGCAGATTCCTAACAGCCGCTCAGCCTCACAGGTGCAGGAGGGAACTCTTCCAGAGGCCCGCCCGCCCTCAGAAAAAGCAGCGACAGCATCAACCCCGCTGCTCAAGGCAGACACCCCTGCGGTCCTTTCTGTGCCGCTTTCCCTTGCCCACCACGCCCCGGCCACCAGCAGCGAGTCCTGTCGCTCATTCTCAGAACGTGGGGTTCTTGGGCTGGGCCGCAGGGCAGGTCAGAGCTGGGGGTGCGCACTCTGGGTGCCGCCTTCCGCCGCAGACGCTCTTGGCCGTGCCCTAGGGTGGGGGCGGGGGACACGGGGCCTGCACTGTTCTCGGACCATCCGCGCATGCGGCCCTGTGACCGGCTCTGTTCTCTCCTCTCCCCGCCCCCCACCCCGTCCGCCTGCCTGCCCACCTCTGCGTGCAGAAGTCCTCCAGCTCTGCCTCCTCCGAGGCCTCGGAAACCTGCCAGTCGGTTAGCGAGTGCAGCTCTCCCACCTCGGTCAGTGCCCCCCACCTGCTGCGGGCACAGGGAGGGCCCAGGCCCCACCAGAGCTGGGGCGCACAGCCTGCTCCCTGCAGGAAAAGCCCCCTGGTTACCACTGGAGCCACTCCCCTCACTCTCACGTCTCCCTCCTGGGACCTGACGTCCTGCCCCAGCGCCTAGCCTGGCGGGGCAGAGGGGTCACAGCACCCTCCGCACTTTGTCCTTGGCCACGACTGTGAGCCTGAGGGCCCACATGGACCAGAAACCCTGACCCTCAACCACAGTGAGGGGCCCCTTGATGAGCATCAGGGCCAAGGTGCCCCTGACCCGCCCGCCCCACCCTGCAGGACTGGGCCAAGACCGGCCCCCACGAGCAGCCCTCCACCCTGCAGCGGAGGAAGGACCGAGTGGAGCTCCTCCGGGACGCGGAGCCGGGCCCGGCCAGTGGGGGCGCCCCAGGCCCCAGCGGAGAGGAAACTGCACGACCCCGCATGTCCCCAGCCACGATCGCAGCCAAGGTAGGCAGCAGCTCAGCCAGGGCCCCACCTTCACTCCCAGGTCAGTGCCAGGAGGCTAGGCGCTTGTCCTCAGCTCCAGCTCTGCCCCTGGTGGGAGCTCCCTGAAGTCCGGGCGGGGAGGTCGGGGGGGGGGGGGGGGGCTCTGGGGAGCGAGGCTTCAGCCTGCAGTCTCGCCACCCCAGCACGGAGAGGAGGTGTCGCCCGCAGCCAGCGACCTGGCCATGGTGCTGACGCGCGGCCTGAGCCTTGAGCACCAGAAGAGCAGCCGGGACTCGCTGCAGTTCTCCAGTGGCTACAGCACGCAGACCACCACGCCCTCCTGCTCCGAGGACACGATCCCCTCCCAAGGTAGGCCCCGGGGCTGGGGCGGGTGCCCGGGCCTGCAGCCCCGAGGCCCCGGCCCACTGCATCCCGTGCCCCCAGGCTCCGACTACGACTGCTACTCGGTGAATGGGGACGCGGATGGCGAGGGCCCCCCTGAGTTCGACAAGTCATCCACCATCCCTCGCAATAGCAACATCGCCCAGAACTACCGCCGCCTGATCCAGACCAAGCGCCCGGCCTCTACCGCGGGGCTGCCCACTGCGGGGCTGCCCACCGCCTCGGGCGCGCCCCCTGGCGTAGCCACCATCCGCCGAACACCATCCACCAAGCCCACCGTGCGCCGCGCCCTCTCCAGCGCTGGCCCCATCCCCATCCGGCCACCGATCGTCCCCGTGAAGACACCCACAGTGCCAGACTCTCCCAGCTACATGGGGCCCACTCGGGCGGGCAGTGAGGAGTGCGTCTTCTACAGCGACGAGGCTGCCTCGCCCCTGGCGCCGGACCTGGTGAAGGCCTCCCCGAAGAGGCTGAGCCTGCCCAACACAGCCTGGGCCAGCCCGGCCCCTGAGCCTGCCGGCTACCCCGGGCCGGGCGCCGAGGACGAGGAGCAGCAGCAGCTGGCAGCCAACCGGCACAGCCTGGTGGAGAAGCTCGGGGAGCTGGTAGCAGGGGCTCACGCCCTGGGCGAGGGCCAGTTCCCCTTCCCCACCACCCTGTCGGCCACCCCTGCCGAGGAGACGCCCGCCCCACCCCCAGCAGCCACCAGCGACCCCCCAGCTGAAGACATGCTGGTGGCCATCAGGCGTGGGGTGCGGCTCCGCAGGACCGTCACCAACGACAGGTCGGCACCCCGCATCTTGTGATGACGCCACCCTCCCACCCTCTGGCCAAGTGCTAGGCAGGTAGCCTGGCTGGTGAGCGGCGGCCACTAAGAATGAAGGCACAGCCAGGAGAGGGCAGAGCCAAGCAAGCTTTTCTTTTTTTTTTTTTTTTTTTTTTAAGTCGCACGAGGCAAAGCCACTTTATGGAAAGAAACACGCAGCTTGGACTTCAACATTTAAACAGGAAGTGACTTCTTTAACAAACCTCGCCATAATGGAGCCTGCAGGCCTTGACCTGGATTTGGAGCCTCTTTTATACTTTCCTCGCCTATACTCGGTCCCTCCTGTTCCTCCCTGCAGGCCCTGCAGGCCCTGCCTTCCCACATCTCAGTGAGCCCCTTAGCCGCTCCCCCGCCCGCGGCGGAGGGGCGGGGCCAGCTCTCCGTCCCGCCCTTCTGGCGTGTGCCTGCAGCACCGCAGCTCCACCCACCCGGCAGGCTGCGCTGCAGGGCTGGCGGCGCCTCGGGCCTTTACAGACTGACCCCTCTCTCTGTCCCCCTTCTCTGCCTCATCTATGCTCCTCTCCATCGGGGAGTCAGAGTGTCTGGGTGGGGGCAGATGCCCCATCAGCAAAGGTAGCAGATTTGACTGACAATGTGTGCAGAGTGACCGGTGGCGGTGGGGGCAGGTGAAGGCGGGAGGCAGGCCCACCCGGTGGATGCCCGGGGCCTAGGGCCCAAGCGCGGAGAGCCTGCCTGGAGGAGGCTGGAGACCCTGAGGCAGCTTTCTCCTGCCCTGTGAGGTGCACCTGGGGTGAGGGGTCAGGGTGGGACTGCAGGGATGGCATCCAGAGGCCCTGGGGTGGTGGGGCCAGACCCCCAGGAGCTACTTTCAGACGTCTGGTCCTCGTTTGGGTACAAGGCTGATTCTGGCGGCACTTTGCTCTCAGTTTCGGCCACATTTGGGTGTGGGGGCTGAAGCCACAGAGGGTGTGGGGGTTATTTTATGAGCATAATAAAATGGAGCTGGTTGGACAAGGACTGTGCGTGGGGACAGGGTGGACGATACAGGGTGTGTCCAAGAGTGCCTGAAGGACGCGGGGGGTGGGCACAGTGGTCGGTGGGCTTATGGCAGGAGAAGGACCGATTGGCCCCCCCAAAAGCCAAGGGATGGCCGTTCTCCAGCCTCTGGAGCAAAGCCAAATTAAGGGCTTCCGGCCCATCTGGGTGTTGGGGGTGGGGGGCCTTCTGGCCAGGCCAGGTTGAGGGCAAGTCTGGGAAGATCGGCTTTGACTCTCTGTTGCCAGAGGAGATGCCGTCCCAGGACGCGCCCCGCCCCCCGCTCGCAGTCCGAGCCAGTGAGGGCAGGGCGGGGCCGGCTGCAGGTGCCCTTCCCGCTCCGCGCACCAAGTTGTGCCAACTCCAAGCAGGTCAAAGCAGATGCGCCTCGGAGGAGGAGGGCTTCCTGAGGCCCCGCAGGCCAGCAGAGAGCTGGGCTCAAAGGGTGGCAGGGCCACAGGGCAGGGGTCCCCTGGGGTCAGGAGGACAGACAGGCTTTTCCTGATCAGGATGCGGTGCGGTTGGTCTGAGTCTCCCAGCGCGGGTCTTGGCAGTTCTTGTGCGGGAGCTGGGACCCAGGTGGGGCTGGGGAACCCAGGGTGCTCCCGGGTGGGCAGAGTCCCGGGCTCCCCCAGGGTGGTGGAGAACGGTACCTGTAAGTCGCTAGGTCTGAGGACAACCTTGCCGAGTGCTCTGGCCAACCCCAGAGCCCAGGTTGGGGCAACTGGAGGGACCCGGGCGAAGGAGGGCCTGAAGGAGCCCTAGAGCAGGTGGCGGGTGTGGGCTGCCCCGGGGCGGGGCTTACACTGCCCCTCCCTCAGGGCTGCGCCAGACTTGGCCCCGGTGGGCCGATGGAGTAGGATGCAGGATGTGTGAGGTGAGCAGGGTACGAGCGGTGGGGCGGGGTGGGGCGGGGTTGCGGCTTGGTCCCCGCGTCTCAGAGAGGAAGAGCTTGCCTCCAGGGGGCAGGGGTGGCTTTGCAGGTGCAGGGAGGTTGTACCCCCTCCTTGCTTAACCCCTTCCCCTGTGAACCACCCCAGGGCTGTACATAACCCTCCGTCCCCTGCCCACCTCTCATCCACTTAGTGACCACCTCGTAGCACCCCGCCCCCCCCCCCCCCCGGGATCCGAGCCAACCATCCCGCATCACAGACTTTGGTTTGGGGGACTTCTTTACATTTGTTTTATTTTTCATTTTGTACAGAGACATATTCTTTTCAAAGTCTTTTGACTAAAGTAACTTTTCTGGTGCTGTTGTTAACTTGTTCTTCTGTTAATTTATTTTCCCACCCCGGGCCTCCCCTCCTTGTTCCCCTCACTCTTTCTTCCCGTCACCCCCTCCGCATCCCCCCACCCCATCTGAACCATTTTGTTTCTTTTCTCTTTGTCGGTTTTTGGATAAATTATCCTCCGCTCCTTCCCCTCCAGCCCACCTTGCCCTTGATTTAAATAGTCACTGCTACAAGTAACAAATGCACTGTGAAGACCCCAGTATTAATAAAGTTGTACTGTAATTAACACCCCTGCCTCCGCCTGGCTTCCTGGCCTCTGCTGCTTGAGCCACCCACAGCACCCCCTGCACCCAGCCCCTCCCCCTGGAGCCCAGTCTGGGGGTGGGGCTCCTTGGGGGCCCCGGGCTCTGAGTAGCAAGGGCAAGAGTGGCTGGTCTTGTGCCAGGACCTACACCTTTGAGGCTTTGGGTCCTTCCCTGCTGGTGGCCGTCTTGGGGCAGCCAGTTGGACTGAGGGAGCCAGGGAGGAATGGAGGGAGGGTGACCAGGAGGCACTGCAGTCGGGGTGGGGGGTATCCCCACACCCCCATTCCTGGGACCTCACCCACTAGGACAGGGCTAGAGGAATTCCGTCTCTCAAATGCCCACCACTCCAGCCCCCTGGCCAGGCTCTGTCCATCCCAAGTCAGAACCCTCAGCCCCAGGTCCGGCCAGCCCGCCCCTTGTCCCAAGTGTGGCACTTGGTGGGCGGGAGCAGGACTGGGAGGGAGGAGGGGCTCCCAGCGCCTCCAGGTTCACCCTTGCAGATGCAAAGCAAAACAATCCAAAACGAAATAAAGCGGGTGTTTAATAGAAAAAATAAACTGGAAGAGCACCCACTCCACTGTGGCAAGATACGGCACTTGGCTCTGCCTTCTCCCCCGCCCGACTGCGTCCAGCCCTCCACACCCACCCGCCCACCTGGCATGACTCTCACCTTTGCAACCGCCCGGCCTTCAGGCGGGGGAGGCAGCCTGGGCAGTGCCCAGAGGGGCCGGGGCCTCTGTCTCGTCCACCTCCAGGTGTCCCCAAGCCCTCACCACCCCAGGTAAGAAGAGCATGTGAGGTATGGAGGGGAGCAGATTCCCCCTGAGAGAAAAGACACCTGTTCTACGGTTCCTCCCCCAAGGGGGCTTCCCCACCGCCACCCAGGGACATCTCGGCCCAGTGGAACTGGGAGCTCCTTGTGCGCCCCACAAGAGTCACCGACCGCACAGGCCTGGGGGCGGGAGGAAACTGCCACTGTGCCCTCGGCAGTTTCAGTGGCCAGTGCCAGCCGGGGATTCTGAGGAGCAGGGCAGCGAGGCGGGGGCTGCCGGGCAGGCAGAGGGCCAGCTAGGAGGCCAGACACTGCGACAGGGGCTCTGGGCTGTGGCGCTGAGAGCTTGGCACCTCGCAGTCCCGCCAGTTCAGGACTGAGCTTTGTTTACCTGCAGGGGAAGGAAAAGGAAAACCGCAGGAGTGGTCAGCACCCACCTCGTCCCCATGCCCAGGGCCCATCTCAGCTCCCGGAATGGGCCTGTGGCCCTGGGGAGCGGAGGGCTGCCCAGCAGGGTGCCCGCTCTGCCGCTGGGCGGGCATCGCCCCGCCCCCGGGCCCCGCCCCGCCCCCGGGCCCCGCCCCGCCCCCAGGCTCCTCACAGCAAGAGCAGTACAGCAGGTCCAGGACTCGGAAGCAGTTGTCCAACAGGGCTTTGGGCCGCACCAGCTTCTGGCTCAGCTCCGGGGCACTCAGAAGGGACAGCACCGCTTCCACCTTGGGGCTGACCTCCACATCCTGGAAGGGAGGAAAGCGAGAGAACCACAGGCCGGTGAAGACCCAGGGCCACGTGCCAGGGGAGCTGCGGGGCTGTCAGCCCTGACGCGGTGCAAATCACAGAGGGAAAACGAGACTTCCTGGGACCAGGAGACCTGCGAGCAATTTCTCTCCTTCCTCCAGGTGCCAAGTTTCCTGGGGGGAGGGGGAGGGTACCCCTCAATGTCCCTCATGCAAGCACAATACAGACAATCTTCTCTTTTCCTGTCATTGGAAAAATGACTCCCCGGCCCAGGAGCAAAGAGCCACTAAAGACATCGGTGGGGCCCTGGCCGGTGTGGCTCAGTGGACTGAGCACGGGCCTGCAGACCAAAGAGTCGCCGGTTTGATGCCCAGTCAGGGCATGTGCCCCAGTTGCTGGCCAGATCCCCAGTGGGGGGTACGCAAGAGGCAACCACACATTGATGTTTCTCTCCCTCTCTCCCTCCATTCCCCTCTCTCTAAAAATAAATAAAATCTTTCAAAAGATTTTATAAAAAAGATGTTATGAAAAAAGAAATCTCTGGGATTCCCGGCCCTTGCCAGAATTTCGAGAGCCTCCCCAGAGCTCCAGGCAGCTGCAGCAGTTGCTTGCCCCTAAGCCAGGGCTCGGGAGCCGCTCCCAGCGGCTGCTGGGCGCTGTGGCTGGGGAGCAGGTGGGGTTCCTGGGCCTGGTGGGCACCACATTCCTGAGGAGGGCTGGGGTCAGGTGGGGAGCAAGGCAGCGTGGGGGTTCATGGAGCGGCCCCACATCACCTGCACAGCACACACTCACCCAGTCACCTTACTTTCCGGGCTTTGGGGGCACATACCCAGAGGCCTCAGCCCAACCCTGCTAAGCAGGAACCTTACTACTACTACTACTACTACTACTACTACTACTACTACTACTACTACTACGTGAGTGCATAGTTTACATTAAGTTTCATTCTGTGTTGTACCGTTCTGTGGGCTTTGGCAAATGTGTGACATCACGCAGCCACCTTTACACGCCATGCAGAAGCATTTCCTTGCCCTAAACACCCCCTGTCTCCCACCTACCCGTCCCTCCTCTCTAAAGGAATCTCATTTCTTAGGCTCAGAAACAAAGTCACAGGGACCACAGACTCACCCAAGACAGAGCCTGGAATGGGGCCTCAGGCACATCTCCTGCCCCCCAGCCCATCACCACCGCTGGTGGTCACTGGCTGGCTCCTCCTCTCTCCCATTTCTCCCACACCCCTCAGGACATGCCTGACCTTTCGAGGTGTGCCAGCCCTTGGCCAGTACCTCCACACACTCATGCATGCACACGCACACACCACCCACCCACACCTCTGCCCAGCTCACCCTGAGGCCTTGCTGGACATTCACCAGCAGAGTGTGTACCTCCTGCAGGTACTTCCAGGATGGGTGGCGTTCGAGCAGCACCTTCTGCACGGCCTCAGTGGCACTGAGACTCACCCAGACCCACAGGTAACGCAGCTCCTGCTGGCTCACCTGGGCCCGCTGCTGTGGGGGCGGGAGAAACAGTGAAGCCCCCAGACATGGGTCTCTGGGCCCAGCCCACACTGTTCTGACGCCCACCCCTACTCTCCCCTGCACAGGGAACCGACCACAGGTGTCTAGTGTGCAGCCTCGGGCCAGGCCAGGGCCAAGGGCAAACTCGCTTGAGGGGCCCGGAGAGGCCACTGACAACAGGACCTGCCAAGCCAATATGGGTCTCTGGAGAAGCCCCAGGATGTCCTGGGGGACAGGGGATGTCCCAGCCCCGGAGGGGATTCTCACCAGCCTGGTGACGTTGGCCACTCTGAGCACTCCCTCGTAAGGCACTCTGACCTGGTAGTTGACGGGGAAGAAGTGTTTCTGGGAGGTGAAGAACAAGCCGTGAGGTCAGGGTCAGAAAGGACGCGGGCAGGTTCCCCAGCCCCCACCCCCACCCCCCGCACCCAGATGATTTGATGCAGGAGGGGCCCGGGGCAGCCCTGTACTGGCAGAGGTGGCCCTTCACAAGACCACGCTCGGCTCCCTGTCGGGACAGGACAGCTGTCTTTCCTCCAGGACTCGGGGAAGGACGAAACGAAACACCTTGTTGCTGTTCAGGCAGAAGTTTCAGCCGGGAAACAGCATGAGGGACTTACTACCCCAAGAGAAAGGTTCTCTGGGCGTGGGGAAGACGGAAACAGCACTCTACAACATAGAATGGTGATGGCTGCACAACCCTACAAGTGCACTGAAAACCACCGAGTGTCCATTCACATGAGTGAATCATGTGGCATGCGAGTACCTCAATAAAGCCGTTTAAGAAAAGACATACAGAGCCATGCCACGTGGGCCCCTACAAAAAGGACCTGCGTTCCAATTCCAGGTCCTTATCTCCCCACTAATATCTCCCCAGGGTCTAGGGTTCCCCCAAGCAGTCCTGGAGTTCATTCCTGAGACGCAGGGTGAGCGCCACGTGGGGGTGGGACCAAAGGCCAGCCCTAGGAAGAGGGGTGGAGGCCCCAGGGTCAGCTGGCGGGACGGAGAAGGGCAGGCATGCAGACTGGTGACCAGGCCTGCCAGGGTGTGTGGCAGAGAAAGGTAGACCCAGGGGCCACGTAGGCTCAGGGCTGGCACAGGCCCCAGCGGCTTGGGGTGGGGGCGGTGAGTGCCAGGTGGTTACCATGTACTGCAGGCGGCTCTTGTACTGCAGCTTTTCCCGCAGGAAGCCGGTGAGGGTGCACTCCTTGCTCTGGGTCTCAGGCCACACCTCCAGACCCTGGTTCCCCAAGGCCACGCCGAGGAGGATCCCGAGATCTGTGGACCGTGCCCAGTGGGAACACATGAGCAACCTGCATGGCTCCCAGTCCCCCACCCCCTACACAAGTCCCCACCAGAGAGACAGGAGGGGCCAGGGTGCAGAGCCCCGAGGAGGCCTTCCCACCATGGGGCTGCTGGGTCTGCAGTCTGGGCTACAGGACTACGAAGCCGTCCAGCCTGTCCACTCCTGGCCAGAAGCCACTGCCTGGGGTTAGTCTCGCCTCCTCCCCATTCCCACCGCACAAGGCAGGCACGACCTCCCTTCAGGCCACCGCAGCCCCTCCTGCAAGGCTCACATGTTCTCAAAGCCTGTTGCTTGCATTTTCCATCTCGGGATTCAAGAGCTGTGGATTTTAGTTCCAGCTCTAGAAATGACTTTTGGGTGGACTGGAGTAATTTTCTTCCCTTCTCTGGGACTTTGGCATCCATTTCAGTTAATGCACCAGTGAATGTGTAGCAGTCTCTGTGGTTTGCTCGTTCTAGGATGCTAAGCAAATCTCGCTCAGGCAGTTTCTCGCTTCCTGCCAAAGGAAGAGCCGCCGCCTTCTGAGCGTTACCAGCTTTTACCACTGGAGGTCGCTGTGATCTCAAAAATAGCCTGTGTGGTTTCCCGTAACTGAACAGACTTACAAAAAATCTCTAGGTAGGGACAACTGTAATAGCATAAACAATAAAATATAATTTAAAAACTTTCTAAGAGAATTTGAAAAAATATGAACAAGGGTTATGTCAACCAGAGCAGAAAGAACAAACTATAAATGGACAAGAAACGTATCCCTCAAAATCAACCTCACTAATAAAGATAAAAAAATTCACATTAAAACAATCAGATGCCACATTTCATCTGTCAAAATGGAAAGTGGTTTTGTTTGTTTGCTTAATTTTATTTTATTTTATTTTGGTAGCATTCTGTGCTGGCAAAGGAAGTGAGGCAGATGCTCTCCTCCTGGAAAGCAAGTTAGCAATTATTTTTTAATTGATGGAATAACGTCCACACCCTTTGACCCATTTAAATTAATTTCTAGGAAAGGGAAACTGGAGAGAAAACAAAAAAGAGAGACATAACCAAAAGATTTATGGACAAAGCCTTTCACCGCAGCATCGTTGCACAACAGTGAAAAACTGTAAATGGCCTGATTCGTCAGTAACAGCAGATGCAGCCAGTGGGAAGTCACACTACCCGAGAAAGCTTTACGACACGTTTACGTGATAAGGGAAATACTTAGGATCCACTTAGGGAAACTCCTTTAAAACGCCTGACTCAACACTCTGTATCTGGGTATATGATTCAAGCGTGACCAGAATTCCATTCCGTGTGTGTGTGTGTGTGTGTGTGCGCACCTGCGTGCGTGCATAGGAAGTGTGGTGGGAGAGCTGTACCACATCTCTACGGGACATCTTTATGTTCTTTATATTTTGTAGGATATATCTTCTATTCTACCCATCAATATCTATTATTTTTAGAATCAAAGGCAATTTTGGGGGGTTCTTTTCTTTTTCCAGACTCAGCCAGGCAGGCTGAGCTGTCTCCTGGACCCAGCCCCAGGTATGAGTAGAAATTACTGACGACTGTCCCCACGCGCTCCCTGGCCCGCAGGAGGCTTTGGCTCTGAAACCCCCGCTAGCCTGGGCCTGCTCCCCATCGCCTCCTTGGATCCTTCTCAGTCCCTCGGCCATGCCTGCCCCCCTCACCGGAGTACCCTCAGGTCTGCTCAAGCCCTGTGCCCTGTAAGGGCTGCAGGCCCCCAGACCTTCCTCACAGAACTCACAACCAAATGTTTTGCAAGGTCGCAGGTTTGCGGCCCACCTCACACTCCCCCCAACACACCAGCCCACCCCGCCCCGCCCTCTTCCCAAGTGCTCACGCCGGTACTCCGACAGAGGAACAGATAAACACCAACCAAACCGGCTTGCTTTCTGTCTTGTCTCTAAGTCACTAACCCCCTCAGCTTGGCACCCCTGCAGGTCAAGGGCATTCCTGCCTGAGAGTTTCTGCTCACACTTGGCCCTGCCCTGGGTACCCTCTCACACTGCAGGCCTCTTCCGAGATCTCGCCGAGACTCTGCCCTCCCCACGGCCTGCCCTGCCAACACCAGCAACCCCCCACATCCCCCGCCAAGCCCTGTCTCTAGCGCCATCTGTCCAATTCACTCGTTACCATCACCAGCCCCTGGTGTGTGAACACACGATGTGGTGACCAAACCCCGGGCTCGTTTACTGAGCACGTCTGGGGCACACCTGGAGCAGCAGCGTCTGACTCTCCTGGAGAGCAGGCGGCGCCCCACCCCAGAGTGTCTGATTCTGTAAGTCAGGGGTGGGGCCGGAGAGCATGCATTTCTAACGAAGGCCCAGGTGATGCTGCCACACACACCTTGAGGACCACGGACCTAGAGCAGCAGTTGCAAACTGTGTCCCAAGGGCCACATCAGGTTCACAGAGACTTCACATAAAAACATGAATTTCTATCTTTTGTTTAAAAATCAGCCTCTGTCCACACCGGGTGTTCTTTCTCATATGCAGTCCCCATGGGCTGCCCCACCGCCACCACCAAGTCCTGCTCCAGCATCGACGTCCTGGCCCAGAGCCTTGGGGCTGGTGTGGGCTCGTAGCCGGGACCAAGCCTGGGCTGCACCCGGTACCTTGTTCACAGACAACCTGCCTTCCCCCGACAGACTTCCCATTCGACAGCACACCAAGTCTGCTGTCCATTTCCAATTTTAAGCTGCTTTTCTGTTGCCTCCACCCTGAGAAACGGGCCAGCATGCAGGTGGCCAGGCAAGGACACCGCCACTGCAGCCTCCCGACCACTCCACAGCCCTGGAGCCCACAGCCGAGGCAAACCTGACCCCTGCCCTCCTGACCTCAAAGTCAGAGGAGGCTGAAGGAAGGGCAACATGTGGAAGGAGCCCCCCACAGCTCCTCGGTGCGGGGGACACACCTCTCCCAGAGACTGCCCTTTGTGCAGGGATAGAGGGGCTTGTCCACCACCACGTGTGGGGTGTAAACAGCACCCCTCAAAAACATTCTTGTTTGCCCAGAACCTCAGGTGTGGCCTTATTTGAAAACAGAAACTTTGCAGATGTAATGAAGGCCCATGCAAAACCCACTGACTGGCACCCCCATCAGAAAGGCTGTGAGACGTGCGGAGGGGAAGGCCACACGAAGATGTGGGCAGAGGCTGGAGTAATGCTGTCACGAGCCACGGAACCTCTGAAGCCACCAGAGGGGGAAAGAGGCAGGAAGCCCCCCCACTCCCCGGAACCTTCCAAGGGAGCGTGGCCCTGCCAGCACCTGGGTTTCAGCTCCTGGCCTCCAGTGCTGGGACAGAATGAGTTTCTGCTGTTTGAAGCCAGCAAGTTTGTGGCAGGTTGCTATGGCAGCCAGCCCTTCCCCAGCACCCCAGCCTCTCTGCAGGCCCCTGGTCCACAGCCCACGCTGTCTCTCACTCCGCAGGCAATCCTCGCCGCGTCCTGCAGCCCGCCTCCAGGCGCCTTGGCCCCTACACCATGCCTTCTCACCCTCGCGTACACCTCCAGAACTGGCCCTCGTTACCTCCTGTCCAGAAGGTTGCGACCACCTCTCCTGCACATGCCACAGGACTGCCCTTCTGAAAGCAGAGTATCTCTCAGCCACAGCCCCTCCCCCAGACCAGAACAGGAAATGTCCAGGTGCCCCTGTTATCACAGGAACCAGCTCTCCAGCTTGGCCTCCCACTGGTCCCTCTACCTGGAACACAGTCCTCACCTCAGAGCCGCTACCTGTGTGAACACTGCCCACCTGAGAGACCACTTCAAGTGGCATCTCACCCATGCTGCTCCTCACGGCCTGGAAACTTCCAGAACACTAGGTCTCTGTCCTTCCACTGTTCTAAATGTTCTGACCCTTTGCAAGATCCTCCCACAAGGCCCAGGTGGGACCAACTGCTCTGCAAATTCCTCCAAGGTCCCAGTCCTGACCTCGCCCATTCAGCACGGTGTTCCCGGGGCCTGGCTCTGGGCCAGGCTCTAGAGCGCGAGGCCGAGGCAGCCAGGCCCCTGCGCCAGGGCGGTCACTGCCCAGCGGGTACAAGGGAGGCACCAGAAACCAGTGCTGAATTTGATTCGATCGAGCCGAGTCTCAGAGTCTGAAAGGATCTCGGTCTGGCCTCACACCAGCAGGCTTGGGAGACTTCTAGGTCCCTTTCTTTTTCTGACCTCATTTCAACTTATTTTTCTTTTCCCCAGAAAACTGTTCCCTCACTGCCTTTGGGTTTTATTCTTTATGGAAGACAGGGCAGAGGAAACAGGCTGCCTTCCCCAGGCACCTGGCTGCTCGTCTCCCGTGTGCTGGGGGCCCAGACACTTCCACAGCCCCCACCGCCTGCCGGCCACACCCAGGGAGACAGAAATCCTCTCTCTGCCCTCCCTGCCTCACCGCACTCTGGAGCACCCGTAAGTCTGGGAGGGCAGAGCTGCCGCCAACCCCCAGTGCCTGCCTCGTCCCCAGGACCACCCAATGACTGCACCCACCCAGCCTATGACTCACACCCCCCACACCTGCCTGAGCTGGGTCAGCTGGAGACAGGCCAGAGGGCAGGCGTGGGAGTCCCCGAGGGACCCTGCACTGAGCTGGGAAGCATCTCAACTTCTCACCAGCAAGAATGGCCCAGTTGCCATGGTTACGGCAGAGCTCGGCTGTGGGCCGAGGCCTCCCCAGGGCAGTCCCCACGGACCCCCCAGTACTCACAGTGGAGCCAGGCGAATCCCTGGGGCATGGTGGTGCGCGGGGTCCCCCAGAGAGCAGAGGCAATGTCCCCAGCGGTGTGTCTATCCACAGAGGTGTGAGTGCGGCCTACATGGCCCCGGGTCAGCACAGGTGGCCTAAAGTAGAAGGGCTGGCCACGGAGGATGGCCTGGCAGGGGGACGCAGGTGCTCCTGGGGCAGCACCACCCTTATCTGCCTGGCAGTGCGGAGGGCAGCCGGCGGGAGGCGGCTGAGAGTTCCATGGCAGCTAGGACCTGGGCTGGGATAGCGGCCTCAGGGTCTTCCCTCCCGAGCAGGAGGACAGAGTCCCCAGCAGGCCCCTCGGAATCTGAGGCTGGATTGTGCTTTCTGTGATTTCCCGGTCTGCAGCTGCTCAGTGTGAAATCTGGCTCTGGAAAGAGAAAGGAGGAGAGAAACCAATTATGTAAGAGCAGCGCTGCCACTCAGCCATCAGCCGCGGGCCTGTGCAGGCTGCACCCTCCGCCTGGCCGGCCCGGGGAAGGCCTAGGCGCCCGGCCCTGCGTTGCCTGCCCCGGCGGCTGCCCACTCGGGGACACAGGCTCACACACAAGAAATGACTCCCACATACCCAAAGGGCAGCACCGGCCCGGGAGTGAGTTATGATGACACTGGGTGGCAGCCTGAACAAAAGCAGGACCACGGAATGAATGGGCCACGAGGGCTAGAGCAAGGGAGCTTCCTGGAGGTGAGACAGAAGGTGGAGCATTTGAACAATGCAGGCTGCAGGGAGGTTAAAAATGCCAATGACGCACCCCTCTACCACCTTCAGGCTTAGTCCCATCCTCCCATTACCCTAAATTTGCATCCCTTCTTAATCGGGTGCCCAGTTAAATTTTAATTTCAGGTAAACAACACATTTTTTAATTTAAATTATATTTTATTTTTATGCTATCACAGTTGTCCCAATTTTTCCCCCTTTGCCCCCCTCCACCCAGACCCCCCACCCTCCCAGGCTATCCCCACACCATTGTCCATGCCCATGGGCCATGCGTGTGTGTTCTTTGGCTACTCCACTCCCTATGCTGTACTTTACATCCCCATGGCTGTTCTGTAACTACCTATTTGTACTTCTTAATCCCTTCGCTTTTCTGCCCACCCTCCTGGCCCCCTCCCATCTGGCAACCATCAAAATGTTCTCTGTATCTATGATTCTCTTTCTGTTCTGCTTGTTCATTTAGTTTTTAGATTCAATTGTTGATAGATATGTATTTATTGCCACTTTATTGTTCATGTTTTTGATCTTCCTCTTAAGGAAGACCCTTTCACATTTCATATCATACCAGTTTGGTGGTGATGAACTTAGCTTCAGTTTTTTCTTGTCTGGGAAGCTCTTTATTTGCCCTTACATTCTAAATGACAGCTCTGCTGGGTACAGTAATCTTGGTTGTAGGTCCCTGCTTTTCATCACTTCGAATATTTCTTGCCAATCCCTTGTACCCTGCAAAGGGTTTCTTTTGATAAATCAGCTGACAGTCTTACGGGAACTCCCCTGTAGGTAACTAACTGCTTTTCTCTTGCTGCTTTTAAGATTCTATCTTTGTCTTTAACACTTGGCATCTTCATTATGATGTGTCTTGGTGTGGGCCTCTTTGGGTTCATCTTGTTTGGGACTCTCTGTGTTTCCTGGACTTTTATGTCTAGTTTCTTCACCAAGTTGGGGAAGTTTTTGTCATTATTTCCTCAAATGGGTTTCCGATTTCTTGCTCTCTCTCCCTCCTTCTGGCACCCCGTGATGTGAATGTTGGTATGCTTGAAGTTGTCCCTGAGACTCCTTATGCTATCCTCACTTTTTTGGATTTTTCTTTCTTATTGTTCTGATTGGTTATTTTTTGCTTCCTTTTATTCTAAACCACTGATTAGATTTTGGGCTTTATCCACTCTGCTGTCAATTCCTGCAGCAGGGATGTCCAACCCAGAGCCCGCAGCCAGGTGCAGCCTGGGATGGCTATCCATGTGGCCCAACACAAAATCGTAAATTTACTTAAAACATTATAAGATTTTTTTTGTGATTACACATCGCAATGTATTTAATTTGTGGCCCAAGACAACTTTTCTTTGTCCACTGGGGCCCAGAGACTCCAGAAGGCTGGACACCCCTGCCTGTGAACCGTCCTTCATTCCAGGTCGTGTGTCCTTCGTTTCCGACTGGTGCTTTTTTATGGCTTTTTTTATGCTGTCGAAGTTCTGAGTTAATCTACTCTTCTCCTAAGTTCTTTGAGCATCCTTATAACCAGTGTTTTGAATTCTTCCTCTAGTAGATTTCTTGTCTCCATTTTGTTTAATTCTTTTTCTGGAGCTTTGATCTGTTCTTTCATTTGGGCCATGTTCTTTGCCTCATCATTTTGGCAGCCTCCCTGTGTTTGTTTCTATGTATTGGGTAGAGCTGCTATGACTCCCTGTCTTGGTGGTGTGGCCAATGTAGTAGGTGTTCTGTAGGGTCCAGTGGCACCACCTCTCCTATCACCCAAGCTGGGTACTCAAGGTGCACCCACCATGTGGGCTGTGTACACCCTCCTCTTGTAGTTGAGCCTTGGTTGCTGCTGGCAGGTCAATGGAAGGGATTTACCCAGGGTGATCAGCTTTAAGGACTGGCTGTGACCACTGACCACCAACCTTTGACCACCATGATGGATCAGCTATGAAAGGGCCCACTTCACAGAGCAAGACTTACTTTAGCAGGGGTCTGGTGCCCCCTGAGTCCACCCCTTGAGTGTGTTGCTTGTGCAGGTGGTTGGGTAGTAGTTTTCTGACATGGTCTGTAGCTGTCCACAGGATGCGCAGGCTCTGGGACCTCCTGGGAGGTGCAGGCCAAGGTCAGCCACTACCTGTGTTCTGTGTGGGGCCACCTGACATAAGCTACAAAGAGATCTGAACTTGGCTGCCACTTGTGCTGGGCTTGGAGGTGCCCAAGCAAGGCCAAGCTGCTGCTAGTGCCAGACCTGGGGCCACTTAATGAGGCCAGATGCTGCTTGTTTGAGAAAATTTAGGAAAATCTAAACCATGAGCCAAGGCAGGTCATTTGTGTGGAAAAGCCATGGGAAATAGCTTGGATGGGTCCAAAAGTTTGGGGGGCTGGAGCCTCAGGGAATCATCAGGGCGGGGCAAACAGTGTGAGCCTGGTCGATGAAGTCTCAGATATGGCGCCTGCCTGTCCAGTCTGTGGGGGAAGGACTCAGAAAAGGACCAGTGGCCTCTGGTCCTTCTGAGGCCAGAAGTCAGGACTTCTGTCTGTAAGGAAGCTGTCCCCAGTGCTCGCCCTGATGCCAGACACTTCAGGTCCTCCCTGTGTGTCTCTGCTGCCTTTCAAGCTACTGACCCAGCACTGGAGTTCAGAGGGCATGAGTCCAAGTAAGTCCGTGTACAGGCCCTTTAAGAAGAACTGCCTGGGATTCCAGAAGTTTCTGTCTTCCACGGCCTTAATCCTCATTGGTTTTTATAACCAGAAGTTATGGGGACTTATCTTTCTGGCACTGGAACCCGAGGCTGGGACCTCTTGCTCCCGAGATATCCCTCCCAATTTTTATCTGCCACACGTGGGAGTCACCCGGCCCGGTCCACATCTCTACCCCTCCCGCCAATCTGCATGTGGTTTCTTCTTTAATTCCATAGTCGTAGGACTTCCATCAGCTTGATTTCTGGCGGGTCTGAAGGATGGTTGTTCTGTAGTTTGGTTGCGATTTTGATGTAGTTGCGTGAGCCATGTTTACCGATGCCGCCATCTTGAATGGAAGTTCACTGTGAATACTTCTCAGTGTAAGGGTGTCCCAAATCCAACATGGGACATGCTTATACTAAAAAAATTCATTGTTTATCAGCAATTCCATATTAAATTGGGAGTCCTGTATTTTTATTTGCTAAATTTAGCAACCCTGTGATAATAATAGGGTAGCTCTTCCTGAGTGCTCACTATGTGCTAGGCTCAGGGTTATCCTCACAACAATCTTATGGGGCAAAAAAAAAAAATCTCATTTTATCAATGAAGAAATCAGGGCCCAGAAAGGTTAAGACACTTGTCTAAGGTCACACAGCTTAAAAGAAGTGCAAAAAGAATTCAAACCAGGCCAGCTGGTGGCCACTCCTGCAAGGGAATGCCCACATGCAGTAGGCAGCCCTTCCCAAGTGACCTCTGGGCTTGGCACTCTCATACAGTCATCTTATCTCTCTCTCTCACTGGACTTTGTGGGGTACTGCCACTGTCCCCATTTTGCAGATGAGGAAACTGAGACTCTGAGAGGCTGAGCCGGCCAGCAATAGAGCCAGGTCTGAAATTCAGTCTCTGATGCCGTTCTGTTCCACGCCCTTGTCCTCTCTCTCCGTCTCCCCTCTGGTGGGGGAAATGGCCACAGGTGGATGGCATGATGGGAAAGCAGTTATGACCTGGGGGTCTTCTCCTTTGCGGCCATCATTCCTCCAGGGCGCACCAGGGGTGCTGGTCCTGCCCTCATTTCCCAGCAGGCAGGCAGGGACTCCCACAAAGAACACAAGGGTGCCCGTCACCCTTTGTGTGAAGTCACCTCTGGGTCTCCATTCCTCCTCTCATTCCCGGATACCACCGTGTCACCACGGACACTGACCTAACTGAAACTTCTGGTTGTCATTAGTTGAATATTTTTAGTTTATGGAGGTATGATTTACAGACAGAAAAGTTCACCTTTTTTAGCATACAATTCTATGAGTTTTGACAAATTCACAGAGGCGTATAACCACTACAATAATCAAGACATAAAACATTTCCATCCACCCAGAAAACTGCCCCCAGCCAGGGGGCAGCCAGCCCTCCCCCTGCCAGCCGCCATCCATCCGGCAGTTCCGCCCCTTCCAGACTGCCGTGCAACGTGCTCACAGCGGGCAGCCTTTGCGTCGGGCTCCCCTCGCTTCGCACGCTGCATCTGGGGTTCCCCAGGGTGCCGCGTGTCTTCGTGGTTTGTTCTGATTTCTGTCTGAGAAGTATCCCATTGTACAGCCAAATCACTGTTTGTCTGTCCATCCCCCAGTTGAAGGGCATCTGAGTTGTTTCCAGTTTTTGATAATTATGAATGAAACCCTTTAAGCCTCTGCATACAGGTTTTGATGGGAGTGGAAGTTTCCGTTTCCCTCGGGCCAGTTTGTAACTTGAATGGTGCTCCACCGCCCTTCAGAGCATCTGAGCTCGGCGTGCTGACCATGGGGTCCAGGCCTTGGTCTCCTGTCCTGTCCGCTCCTGCTCCCACCGGCCGCATCCCTCAGCCCAGACCTCACCAACCACATGCACGGACTGGGCTCTGTGCCCCACCCACACCCCACAAAACTTGGCAGCCTCCTCTAACAGAAATCTCCCAGAAAGGCCCAAGGGCTGAACTCCACCCTGACCACAAATCCTGGACCACCAGA